GATGATACGAAAGCAAGAGTGGGAAGAACATTGATAAAAAACCCATGGAAATGCCTCCCTAGTTTTTTGGTTGTAGGCGAACAGAGGAAAGTATGCAGAGATTTAAAATAGAGAGCATTAGAAATCAAAAGAATGAGGAAAAAAGCAGCAAATGAGCTGCAATAATTTTTCCTAGTTATTATATAAACTCTATGTCTTGGCCTCATTTGCTGCAGAGGATCTCAATGGGTTGGTTAAGCTGTGGAAATACAGTGGACAAATTCCCATCTAAGCCATTTAAGCTGTAAGGACAGATTTTTGACATTATGATTTCTCCTCTCAAGCAAGTTAAGTTACTGACTGATCTAACCCAGTATTTTTTTGTATAAAGATGACTTTTGTAGACTTGTTCTGGTTTATGTTTGAAGGTAGTGTCTAAGTTCTTCTTAGATCTGTTGCTTATTTTGACAATTGGGGACTTTATTTCTATGTTCTTCTGTGCTCGTAACTGTAAGGCAGTAAACAGAATATGAAATAATCCCCTAATTGCCTTTGTCTAAGCATGGTGTCTCGAAGATTTTACACGTCTGAAGTAAAAGGCTCTATCGAGGCACATCAGGTGTAAGAGAATGGCTGCTCAATTAGGCCACCTGAGACAGTTCCCTTCTCCATCTCCTATAGTGGGCATCTACACCATGGTCACATCTTCAGGCAGTGCAATTAAAATATATTCCAGTGCTTGTTAAAAAGGTTGCTGTCTGGACTTCACGTTGTCTGCTTTCTCTTGATTTGATCTTCTTCTCTGATTAACGTTGTTTTAAAGTTTATTTACCTGATTCTCTTTGACTTTCTTGCAAAAAGTTATCTAGATATTTCTGTTCTTTCACTGTTGCTTCAAAACATCCTCTCTGTTTGGAACTATGTTTCTTCGGTAGAGTTTAGTTGTAGCTTTGTCCCAGCTTACAGGATAACTTTGGGATTTCTTACCTGCCTAGTTTTGCATAGGAAGTTTTATATTGGAGTAGAAATCTGCAGTGACCCAGACTTTTCTAGAAGAAAATTACCAGTAATTCTTTTCTGTGGATGCCCATTACAGCACATCTGCATGCATGTAAGCCACTGAATCAGAGATCAGGTTATAATAGAAATAGGTATCTTACACTTGCTGGCTATTAGGAACTGAACCTTAATTAAACCCCATGAGGTGACAGTCTTCAAAAACACTTTTAATTACATGAGGGACCATCAGGACTTCTAACAATGACAGGTGCAAGCTACCCTATTATTGGCCACCAGCCAAAGGCCCCATCATGGAACTGCTCTCCAGTTATACATATGAGAAAGATCCAAGAATATATGTAACTTTGTTGGTAGAGTAAGAAAGATTTGCAGGTAAGAGATGTCACAGAACTTGCTATTCTATCAGATCCAACAGTCACTTAAAGGTGGTGTCCGAGAAGAATAGTTTTCAGAACTGTTGTAGTTTTGCCAATGAATACACACAAGGAAATGTATTAACTGCTTCCTTGTAAACCTTTTTCTGAAATGTTTATGATGCTCATTTGTAGGATCTATCTAAATATTGATATTATATTTGTATTACAAGCCCTTCTATTTTTCTCCCCCAGCTTTAAGACAGCAAAATATTTCCTTTTTTTTTTTCCTTTGTTTAATTTTCCTTGGGTAATTATTGGCAGAGACAAACATTTACATTTTACTCCTTTGGATTATAAAAGCTCTTACATAATACCATTCTAAAATTACTGTGTGAAAACATCTCTCACTTTTATCAAAGTGAAATACGATGCAGTAAAACCAGCAGGCATTTTAGTTTCTTCTTTCTCACTTCCTTGACATTCAGAGTAGTACTCTGACAGCTGAGTATACTTTTTCATTTCTGTAATCTAAGATGGAGGAAGGAGTGAGAGCAGTTTGCCCTGATTCTCAATATTCTTCTGGACTGGGTGCTTTTCCTTAAAGCATGTTATCAAAATAATGGTTGTAAGTGCAGTAGTCTAGTAACCTTGTAATCTCTGAAAGACAAAACATTATATTCCCATTTACAGGGCATGTTCCCATTGTCTGATCTCAGTGCTCTGTTCAGGTGTCCCAATATAGTGAGTTTTCTTAGGGCCGAGGTCACTAGAAACAGAGAACTTTCTTTCTGGATAATTGGCTTTTGCCTCTGCCCTCTCCTTTCACTTCGTTTGCTGTTGTGTAGACCAGGTCTTGCCAGCATCCTGTATAGATGGGGTCTTCTTTACTTGCCACTCTCCTCTTCTGTAAGTGGTTGAAGTCATAATTCATCGCATCCTTTGTCCTTTCCTTGGCAAATTTGAGAATCAAGTCATCATTAAAGGGAAAAGCTTAGGCAGCCATTGGTACTGCTTTTTCCATGCAGTTCTGTCACACTCATCAGTTCTGACTCAGTCTTTTGACACAAAATGTAGTGGGTGTTTTCCTTGGTAAATGAGAGTTGGTAGGAAGCCACTTTTGTTTCAACTTGAGTTCATTTTCCTCAGGGCAGAAAGCTACTAAATTGTCATACTCACCAACTTTTTTTTTTTTCCAAACTCCTTTTGATGTTAGTGTATTTTAGATGTGACAGACTTTAAACCGGCCTACTGATTATAGTGATGATTACTTCATCAGGTGTAGCTTCCACACTGCTAACATTGTTTCCATGAAAATTATTTCAATGCCAGTAATTTCATTACCAAAGCAGAGTAAAAAGTGTAGCAGCAGCTCCTTAAAGATCCATGGAGTGAATAGCATTCTAGTTTTGCTCAGTACTGGAAATATTTTCAAGTCACTGGGTAGGAAAGACTTTCCTAGGCAAGGCACATACTAGAAGTAAATACCAAAATCTCTAGCTCCCTTCATTTTTCTTTCTGAAAACATCTATCACCTAGCAAAAGTCTCTTACAGTTAGCTTAATTGTACAAAGCTAGCTCAGGTTGCTAGTCTTGATTTGTGAATCTGCATATTTTTTCAGCGTTGCATAGTTGAAAGTAAAAAAAAAAAAAAAATTAAAGCCTGATTTTCTGCAAAGCAAAGAGAAGGTATGTCTCAGCCACTGGGAGCTTGACAACTAGTGACGCGTTTTTGAATAACGCTGCAGAGAACTTCCATTGCTTTTCTTCCATTAGTGTGATTGTTCTGTTAAAGTTGAGGGCACATGCTTTCCCAGCACTTCTTAACAGTTGACTTCAGTGGAGAGAAAGTGGAAATGGAATGCACAGAAGTAGAAAGAACAACTTATTTCAGACGTTTCTGATACCATCCCATCAGTTTGTGTCCTGAGAATACAGGACAGCACTTAGGAGTTACGCTGCACCTGAACACACTTTCCCTGTAAAGCATCGTCCCTGCTGCTCGCTTGATTTGCCTGTGTGTGTGTAAAAGATTTAACAAGAGGAAATGAAAAGGCAAGGATGGGCTCCCAGGTGTCAACATTTCCATGCTTCTCTTGTTCAAGCATTGTTACCAATGGTTTGTTTATATATTGGAATGAGTTAATTGTTAAAGGATAATAAGTCAAAGGTTTAATTTTTTTTTTTTAAAAGGGGTGGAGTGGGGAGAGTGTTGATAGTTTGTTCCTCACATGTAGGGATTATGTCTCTCAAAAGCAAAACAAACCAAAAGAATCATGGGCTATTTGATGGTAAATAACTGATTTTATATATAATCGGGACAAAGAATGGATATGCAGAGAGCTTTCACTAATAACCCTGTTCTAAACTTGCCCTATAGTTGTGTATACATAATTTTTTATGCAAAATGCCTGATCTTTTGTGAAAGCAATAGTAGTTTAACTTTCAACTATGCCTTAAGGTTTTTTATCCGATTCATATGTTTTAGTTAATTTGCAAATCCTGTTAGAAGTTACCTAGTCTTACTGTTCGGAATTTAATGAGACTTCCTGCGGTAGAACAAATCTGCTTTGAATCTTTAGTGCATATTATGAAAATATACGCCTCCCAAAAGTTGGGACTTGCTCATTTAGTTGTCTTTTTAGTATTTAGACACTAAAGAATCTGTTATTTGAACTGCTTTGCATTGTTGTAACCTGAACTGACTATAAAATCTGATTTCTGACTTTTCAACTCTAGGAATCTCTACCACCTGTCCAGTTTGACTGGAGTAGCAGTGGCCTTACTAACCCTTTAGATGGTACGTCTCTCCGTAGAGCCTCTAGCACCAGAGCTAGAGATAAGAAAGCTACAAAGTTCAGACAAACATCTATCTGCTGATTTATTTTTTTTAAATATATACACACACACATATATATATAAATATATATAATATTTATTTCTTACTCCTAACTTTGGAAATTCAGGCTTTCTTTCTGATTAACTGTGCCCCTTCGTGAAGTATTACGTAGTCTGAAAAATACCAAGTTAAGTATTATTTTAGGTTCCTGCCATATGCTAATGACACAGTGGCAATATTAGCACTTCATTATATACATAACTGCAGATTATAATGAAACTCTGAACAAATGAACATTTTAGATCGACAAATTTTACTACTTTAAAGTATTTTTCACCAATGAACTATCTCTTTAGATGTCCTTTGAATGCCAAACTTGTGTATAGTGGCTACTTCAAAGCACAATGTTTTATCCATAAACTGTTTGCAAAAGATACACTTCTTGAGCTGAAAGTTTTCAGATTTAAAGATAATTTTATATTTCAAAAATGTGGCTTCATCTCTTAACACTTTTGCTTACACTCAAGAGCTAATTACATCTAATATATTAAATTAAAGAGGTAGCTACAGGCTTATTTGTATCTGTAAATGTATATAGTTATATGGCATAAAAGACCCTTCACCTATGTCTATTTTAATAGCAAAGTGAGTTGTGCCACCGCTTCCAGTCTCAGAAATGTAAGTGCATGCGAAGGAAACAAAACAAGTTCTGGAAACTTGTTTGACAGACTAGAAACCTGCAAAGAAACTGATACCTTTATGAGGAGCCTGCTGATAGCAATTAATTCATGACACAGAAGTTGTTCAAAAGCAGGCGAGAGTAAACTGCATCTCTTACTGCGCTGGCGTTGCCTCACGACGCTGTTCGAGAACATGTAGGATGTTAAGAGTTTGGATAGTGATATCATGGTGCCGAAGGAAAGCCTGGATGGACCCTTGTGCTGTTGTCTGGTGTCTTACTACTTCAGTCAATCATCATGCTTTCTTTTTAACAAACAACTTCTTTAAAATGTATCTTGGTTTGATTTCTGCTTTAGTACTAAAGGGGAACAGTATAATTTACTGGTGAGGAACTGGATATGAGAGTGGCATTTGTTACCCTGTGTTCACACTGCTTTAAGATAATGATAATAGCTTAAAGCTGCTAAATAAATCTTTAAAGTTTTTTTTGGTTCTTTGCTATTTGGGGATCTGCTAAGTCTTCCTGATGAAAAAATGGCTTTCAATTTCAGTGAGGGGAGAAAAAGCCTGCTATGTTCTGACTATCAATTGACCTATATATTGTTTCCCTTTAACCGATCACATCTTTCTCTCTGGGTCGTGCTGATTCTCTTTCATTTTTTAGATTGAAATAAATATATCTATTTTAAAGTTCCTAGTGTTGATTTCCTTGCTGCATTGTACATGAGGAAATGTGCACTGAATTAAGTTGTTAACATTTTAGAAGGTACAAACTAATACTGTAAGCATTGTTTTCATGTCAATTTTTAAATTGCGTACTGAGTACTAATTATAACTTGCATGTTCAAGTGTGTGTCTTACCCCTTTTTACACATAAACCCCTCCCTTGGCTTACCTTCTATATGGCTGCCTACCAACACGGTCACTGAATTTCAAGCTAGTGGAGGTTCCACTCTTCTGAACCTTGATTTCTTTGGGCCCGTGGATGACAGTAGCTCTAGCAGCACCACCACAATCCCAGGTCAGCAGAGTGTTAAAACCACAACTGTTATATTGTAACGACTTACTAAAAGCATGAGCACATCACTTGACTTTCCTATAAACAAGGAGAAATTTCTCGTTGCGTTTCTCTAAAGTGTCTTTCTACTGCATTTTTCCTTTAATCCGCGTTCTGTTTTTCTGATGTTTTGTATCAAGCGCGAAGTATTTACAAGGTACTGTCAGTTCTGTACTTGTCACGTGCTGGAGGAATGAATGGCTCTTATGCTCTTGCAAATCAGAAGTTAAAACACTTGTTTCAGATGAGAAATTTTGAAAGATAACTTTTGTAAGCACCTAAGAAAATTTGAAAAATGCTGTAGATGTGATGATTCCCAAAAAATGAGGCTTGTCCTTTCTTCTGAATAAGCGTCTCCAAATTGTAGGATTATGATGTTATTTGGAAGTTATGTGTGAATGTAAAGTTATGGGATTTAACACATCACAACCCCGCTGGTGTTTGCCGCTACCAGGAGGTTGTAAATTTTTCCTTTGTATGAACTACTGATCTTAATGATGAAGAGAAAAAAGTGTTTTAACAACATTCGTAATGGAAAACAAGGATAGTTGCATGTTTGTGGGACACTAGAAGTTCACGAATGTTAATTATAAAACCAAAACACTTTATCTGCAACTTACGCCCTTAAAAGGAGACTAAAACACCACTCTCTCCATTGAATAATACGTGAGAGTAATGGAATTCATTTATCGCATGGTTTTGACGTGCTCTGAGTATTTTACGCGAGCTTGTGAAAACCTACGCTTTGAGTAAATTTCTGCAGGAATTTAAGGGAACAATTTGGGGATTTATCCCAGTGCATACGTTAAGCAGATAAATCAGATATTCTTTCAATATAATGCCTGAAGCCATGATAATCACTTTCTTTGTAGGAAGGGGTTTTTTTTTTGCTTCTAGTGATTTTAGTTTTAAAAATCAATTTTTCAGAGGATTGGGGTTTTCCCCACATTTAAAAGAAGTGCTTATAATTGTTTTTGTATTTTTTTGTTTTTAAAAACCTGCTTTTTTAGTTTTGCGAATCTGATCACCGAAGGCAATTTTATGATGTCTCATTCCAAACGTATTTTTGTTCTGCTCTTGAAAAATGCCATTATCAGATGAAAGGTGGCAGGTTTGTCATGGAAATGATAGATAGCAAATTCAAGATGCTTGAGTCTTGCAGATTCTTGTGTAAATGTGTGCGGGTCTATCAACATAAATCGTCAGTACCCGGTACATGTACTGCTCGTGCAGTCGGGTATGTTCTTGTGTCTTGATGGTGTGCACACTTGAAGTGATTACTGGAGGGATACTCTTATTACCCTTTTATTCCCTTTATTTTTGTTTGGTTTTTTATGTTGTTGTTTCATCGAGTTACAGGTATTATCACCTTCCCTGGTATGCCCTATAGTGCCTATTTTTGGTTTTGGCTTTTCTTTCCTCCTGACTTGTTTCTGGGAAAGTCATTTGTTTCTTGGCTTGCAGCTCGTGTGTTTTTGTGTGTGTGTTTAGGAGCTTTGTGTGGGATTTGGTTGGCTAACTCTCCTTCAATATCTCATTAAGGTTTTGCAGTGCTTTCCTTAAATATTCTCTAATCATTGGAATAAAATGGAGAATATGCAACTCTTAAAACTAACTAAAATAATTGAAAGACAAATTATTAGATCTTTTGGTTTAGAGAAGAAACTTTTATCACTAATAGAAGTTTGTTCTTTCTCTGAAGACCTTAATTTTACATACTACGGACCTACGCTGTATTCTCAGTCTGATTTCATCAGCAGCCAAAACCACTTTTTATTAAAATTTGCATTTTATGTCATGAACAGGGAGTTACTCGTTTCTAGTATGTTCCCACAGATTTAGTATATGGTTTTATTTTCCATGTGCATAGTTTAACATAAACGTAGCAGAGTAAGAGGTGCCTAAACAACGGTAAATTGAGTAGTGACATTGCACTACAGTGAAAATGAATTCAGGACCATAAATGTGAATATCTAAATGATATAATTTATGAGATTGCATTTAACATTTGTTGCAGAGTTGCATGTCAAAGGACTCCTTGTTTCAATTAGTTTTACAATTTGTACCTTAATGGGATTTCGCAGGCTTCTGCAAGTCAAAGTGTATTTCTTTGAGTCTTCCTCTCCCTTTTTGAAAGCAAATATTTTATGGAATAGCTGGGCTTTTTCCTATTTCCAGGTTCTGTAAACATCTGACAATACTTAAAGTCTTGGTATGCTGGTCTCAGGACAGTACATATTTTGATGTTTTGCATGAAACTGGATGAAATTAACTTTCAAAATCCAGACTTAAAAAATCTAGATTGAAAGAATTTTAGTCAACTCATATTAAATGGAGGAAATCTCCCCCAACCCCCACCCCAGCTCCTGCAGCTTAACCAGATGATTTTCCTAATTTTACTTTTTGGTCAGCTTAGTTCCCTAACAATGAAAGGGTACTTAACTCGTGCACAAATGACAGACGGTCAAGACGCTGCCTTGGGAGAGCTCATGCAAAGCAGGCATGAGGATTATTAACCTCATCCATTTGTGCATGTAGTACTGCAGTTACTGGGTGGAAAAGGCAGGACAATAGGCACAGGCATTTAAAAAAAAATAATTTAGTAATCTTTCAGTACTTCAGGAGTACTTCTAAAAGTGTATTGATCCAGACAAGTAAACTGGGTAAAATCATCAGCACTTCAGTTTATAAATGCTGGTTTTATGTTAGGTAGCTACATGGGACCATCGTGTCCAAGTATTTGCAGTTACACTTGTTTAGAACACAGGTGTCTATAAAACACAATGCTTCTGTACAAAAATTTTATACTGTTTTTGAAAAATATTTATAATTGTGGATGGCATGTATGCGTACTTCATTTAGACCCTCGAAGTGTAAAATAGCTGAAACTAACTAGAGGAATATCACCAATTTAAAATGCTTCTGAGCAACAACATATGTTGTAACAGTCTTTCCTCATGATTTATTTTGATAATTCTAATTCCTAGAGACTTTTTTTTAAAGAAAACATACTTAATATCTGGAAATTCTAGAGCTACTTTCTACTGAGATATGATGCTTGATATTAAACAGTTAGAATTGCATCCATACATATGCATTTTTTTGGATGCAGGTTTCCATTGTTTTCAGAGTGATCTCTGCTGATAACATTTGTGCTCCATTAGCAACGTATGTGATGTCAAAATGTAACATCTGACTTAAGATATCTGAAGCTAAGAAATCAAGGCTGAAACATCCAGATACTTGATGCTTTATACATACTTGAAAGATGAAAAGGGAATATGGACTAAAAGTTTTGGTAGCATTATACACATTAGCATGTAAGGTTTTTTTAATACCACTCCACTTGTATGTATCATAAAAGCTGCTTTTCCTCACTTAAAAAATTTTTAACACAAGCTTTTGTGAAAAGCAAGATACTGAATGCACTAATGCATGCCAGTGTCATATGTAATCTCCTGTTAAAGTCTTGGTCCCTGTTAACATGCCGTGTTCTTTTAACACAAACAGTTGGGTGTAATTGAAACAATCCATTTTAACACAGCTGATGTTTTTGCAGGTGTTTCACTCTAAAAGGTAAATCAAATTTGTTTTGTTTACTCTTAGACTGAGACCTCCTATGCCAGACTTGAACCAATGTGTGTGTGTTTTCTGGTACAGCCATAAAAACTACTGAAAAAGGGTGGAGAGAGAGGACAATGTTTCAAAAACGCAGACATGTTCTGTCATGTTCTTTTCATGTATCTTGAAATTATGAATGATTCAGATGTTTACAGAAAATAGTCTCTAGTAAGTTGGTCTGTGGGTAATTATGGCTATGCTTGCCTCCAACCATCACTGATTATCGTTTTATACTATAAGGTGTGGATCCTGAGTTATATGAATTGACAACCTCAAAACTGGAAACTTCCAACGCGAGCAACAGAGTGACTGATGCGTTTGCAAGGCTCATGTCCACAGTGGAGAAGGCAAGCACGTCCACAAGGTAAATACTCTTCGTTGTGCTTTTTTTCTTCTTTTTCTAAGGGTGGCATGAAATGTGAGGAGTGGATGTGTGTGCTACTTTAGGTCAGAAGTTCTTCAATGATAAAAAGGCTTAAATTTAATAATTAAAATTTAAATATGTGTTGTGGTTCAACCCCAGCCAGCAACTAAGCACCTCCCAGCTGCTCACTCACTCTTCTGGGTGGGATGGGGGGAAGAATCAGAAGGGTAAAAGTAAGAAAATTTGTGGGTTGAGATAAAGACAGTTTATTAGATAAAGCAAAAGTTGCGCACTCAAGCAAAGGAAAATGAGGGATTCATTCCCTATTTCCCATTGGCAGGCAGATGTTCAGCCATCTCCAGGAAAGCAAGGCTCCATCATGCCTAACGGTTAATTTGGAAAAAACGTGAACAGACATTTTACAGGAAAATATCTGTAAAACGTTCACTGAGTTCATTTGGTCCATGACTTTGGGCTTCATCTGTTATGGTGGTCACTCAGGACAGGAGAGGTGGTGTGTTCTGTGGAGTTACTGAACACCAAAGCCAGCTCAGGTCGGGTCACTGCTGCACTTGCACTGCTTCTTGTAGGGCTTGTCCTCCATTGGTTCAAGTGGTTCCTGCTATAGGAATTCCTATAACATGCAACTCAAATCATGGATTACAACAATTTCGAGGTATTTCCATTATAATCTCAACCTCTGGTCCCTTTGAACCAGACCATAGGGTTTAACATTGCAATGGGCTCCTCCACTTGACTCTGCTCTGGCTTGGATTTAGCTACAGACTGCAGTCTCTTAGGGGTGTACCTGCTCCAAGAGGAGCCTTATCTATGAGCCACGGTCCCTTCAGGGGTATAACTGCTATAGCATAGACTTAACCTACAGCCACAGTCGCTTTGAGGTGCACCTATTCCAGCGTGGCCTTCTCCATGGGCCACAATACCTTCAGAGATACACCTGCTCCAGCATGGCCTTGCCCACAGACATAGTCCCTTCAGAAGTAAACCTGCTCCAACATGGCATTACCCATGGCCACAGTCCCGCCAGGGGTGTACCTGCTTTGTCATGGGCTTATCCATGCCCACACGCTTTGGTGTGTTCCAGCGTGACCTGATGCACAGCCACAGATGGCTTCAAGGTGTACCTCCTCCAGCAGGGACTTACTCCATGGGCCACAGTCCTTTCAGAGGTATACCTGCTGCGGCACAGACATAACCATGGCCACATGGTTATGTCAAGATGTGCCTGCTTTGGGCATGGGCTTATCCACAGACACTTTGGGGTGTCCTATCCCTGCGTGGACTCATCCGCAGACCACAGTCCCTTCGACTTGAGTTCACACTGGAGTTGCAGCCTGTCCAGTAGAGCAGCACAGAAACAGAAGCGATGCTCTGGCCATCTGCCAGCCCACACACGTCGCCGTTGCTGTTATCAAAGCATGACCAGGCACAGCAGAGTAAGACGATAAGCAGTACAGCACTGCAGCAAGCAGCAAGAGCACAAAGCAGCCACTAACGAGCACTGGACTCTAACATACAGTAAGGCAAGCAAGCCCTATGGCAAGTATGGGAGCCTCGTAGCTAAACAGCAATAACAGCTATAAATTTGATCTAGCACATTCCAAACAAGTCTGTCATTATCTTGATCCCTTCAAGCCCCACGATGGGTGCCAAAAAGGACTGTCGCCGTTTAACCCCAGCCGGCAACTGAGCACCAGTTGTCACCCACTCCTCTCTTAGTGGGATGGAGGAGAGAATCGAAAGGGTGAAAGTGAGAAAACTCGTGGGCTGGGATGAAGACAGTTTAATAGGTAAAGCAAAAGCTGTGCATGCAAGCAAAGCAAAACAAGGAATTCATTCCCTGCTGCCCATCGTCAGGCAGATGTTCTCCAAGCCAGCGGTAACTTGGAGACAAACGCCACCCCTAACGTCCCCCCCTTCTTCTCACGAGCTTTATATGCTAAGCATGACATCATATGGTATGGAACATCCCTTTGGTCAGTTGGAGTCACCTGTGTCCCCTCCCAACTTTTGTGCATCCTCAGCCTCCTCGCTGGTGGGGTGGGGTGAGAAACAGAAAAGACCTTGACACTGTGTAAGCACTGCTCAGCAGTAATGAAAACATCTGTTATCAATGTTTTTTTCTGCACAAATCCAAAACACAGCCCCATACTAGCTACTATGAGGAAAATCAACTCTATCCCAGCCTAAACCAGCACAATACGGAATTCATAGTACTGTAGTTCATATTTCAAATTATCATAGAACTCTAAAATAAGAAGGGAAGCAGTTCATTATCTGAAAGAAAAAGATCACCAGGACATAAGTTGAAAAGCTAGAGCCAAAGACGGAACTGGAGAACAGAGCTGACCTCCAGGAACGGAAGGGTAAACTGAACTGTGCAGTTCAGCAGCTGAGGACTTTGACAGAAGACTCTCCTCAGTCCTCTGTGTAATTTATAGGTACAGAATGCTCCACAAGTAAAATGATAAAACTGGCTAATAATTATGACAATATTTGTCCCTTCTCATCTATTTCCAGCACCTGTCGAAACTTCAGTGGCCAAACACCAGATTCATTTTGCTGTTACAAGTGAAGGAACAAGCGTGTAGTTGGTTTAGCATGTCCTTTCTGTTTCACCGAGCTCATGTGATGTTGTTCTGTGTTTTTGGGGTCTTTTTTTTTAAGGGTAGAGTCTATGCAAAAGGCTTTAGAGGTCAGATGTCTTCCTTGAAGTCTGGCCTGTTGCATGGGTACAGGATAGTCTCTCCACTTAGAAGCTTATATTGATTGGGTTTATTTTTTAAATTGTGTATCTTAGCAGTAGGATCCTGGACTGTCTTAACATGTAATTAATGTCTGTGCCCATTAAAGAATCGCTGAGTGATTCTTACCAAATGAAATTGTTTCTATTGTTGAGGAAGTGCATGCCTCAACATGCGACAAGTATTAGTTGCTTTGCAACTAACAGATAGTAACATAACTCATAAGTGAGCTTTAGGGTTTATTCAGCACTCTAAAACTAAATGTATGTGTTTCCTTGCAGCATAGCGCTTGGAGAGGAGGCATGGTTGACGAGAGTTGTGGCAAATATAGTGATGAACATAGCTGGCTTTCTTAAAGTTACTAAAACCGTAGTTTTCAAGAGCTCTTTTGAAACAGTGTCTTCCGTTAAGAAAATGATTTTGCTAGTTTTCCTGCAGTGAAAATGTTCAAAGTGAACACTGAATAGACCAACAAACTATGAAATTTCAAGGGAGAACCAGTAGAGGGAACTCCACACTTCAGTGCTGATTTTTGGATTGCCTATTTTTCTATCTGTGAAGCCCATATACTCTTTCTGAAGATACACTAGTGGGAAAGTTTCATATTCACTAATTAGAAAATATAGTTACAGTTGAAATACTTTTGTAATATAGTCTAAGTCTAATATAAAAGTAACCACAAATTCACAGCAGGATGTACAAACTCCAAGTGTATCTTCAGAAATTGTTTTATCTCCACTCATAGGTTTGTACCTGCTTGCTTGCCTCATGATGTCTTAGCTTACTTTTCCTTGACAAAGGAACAAGGGAGTCTACTTTGAGTCTACTTCATTTTTCTGTATTGTTGTTTTTTGATTTGAGAGGTTTGGGTTTTTTCCGGTGCTTCCACTGTGCCCTTGAAAGCTCTTACTTGTGCTGTTAAAGCTCTTTAACCAGATGTCAGAGTTCTTCCCCTGTTCTGGAGAGCATTGCTTACTGATAGGAAGAGGTTCTAGATGTGTGCTGTAGCAATATATCAGTCTGTAAGAAGAGGCTGGGGACCTCAGACTTGACCATGAAGTTCAGGCACACATAAGGATTAGCTGTTTTAAAGCAGCTGTTTTCTGTGTTCAATACATTTTGTATGTTTCTGTCAACTCTGAATTTTAAATATTTCAAATTTTTTTATTTTATGCTCTCCAAAAGAAAAACAGTCTATTTTTCTGTTTTTTCAAGCTAGAAACCTTCAGAGATATGAGAAGGTCTTATCTCAGCAGTATGCAAAATATGTTTGCAGTATGTTAGCTTTTTCTAGTGAAATTGTTTTTATTTTGACTTTTTTTTTTATTCTTTCTTAACTGGAGAGTTTAAAATAGGAGTGGCTGGGTACAGCCGGCTCAACAAGGATGACATTCATGCACCAGCCTGGCAATATGGACTGTTAGCCGTTCATGACAGCTGATCAGGGAAGATGTGGCCAGCATCAACTTCAGTTGTGCTAAGGCTGTCCCATGTCTGTAACTTGTCTGAACTCAGGATCTTTGAGGATGAAGTCTAGAGTGAAAATACCGTTTTTCAACTGTAGGAAGCCATGTGAAGACTCGTCTTCATCTGAAATAGCCCCATCTTTTGCTTGCAAACCCATCTCTTGAAGCTGGAAAGTCAGTTTCTCAGAAAGAAAGTGTTGAGACAGAAGGGGAAACTTCCCCCACAGCTCGAGCTTGAAACCTCGACGGCAGCAATAAGCGTTGAAGGTCAGGGATCCATGCAGCATTCCACCGAGAGACAGAGATTCTGCAGTCTTGCCCAGTTCCATAGAGCTGGCAGAGATCAAAAGTTTATCTGCTGTCTTTTTGAAGGAAAGCAGGGCACTGATACCTTTCCAAGAAACGGCTGAAACCCTCATTTAAACTGGAAATACTCCTTGTGGGCAGTGTTGGATGGAGCAGGCTAGCTCTTAATTACAGAGCGATTTTTAAAGTGCATTTCACAACTCGTTGTTGCTACTAGAGCCTGACCTTGCTGGTGCTATCCACAAAACCCTTTGCAAACATGAGAGCTGACTGAAGCCCTGAAAGGCTTGAGTGCTGCAGGAAGGGGTTGGAACACAAAACAGAAGAGTGAGGTGTCAGTGACGCATTGACAAAGCATTTCCTATTTCTTGCTAAATTTTCTTCCAACAACTTTCCTGCCTGTCAGTTTGGCTAATTTCTTCCAGCTTAGTGTTAACATGCCTTTTGAAAAGGAAACTTCTTGACAACAGGTAGAGAGATTTGCAATTATTTGCTTGGGTAAGGGCATCCCCTCTGTCTTGGGAGGACCTGTAGCTTAGTGCAAGGAAAGAGATGGATGGGGACAATGTGTTCTGCAAAAGGTAGTTTTAATACCTGAAAAAGCAGAGACCCTGTTTTGAGACAGGGCTGGGTCCTTTAATGGTTTAGTAATCAAATTTCTGGTTCCAAAGCAGGCAGACAGACATAGTACAACTGCCACTGACAATCCACTTGGGTGTCTGTTCTGTAAGCCACAGCAGCTAGAAATTAAGAGTGCATGAATAGACCAAGGTTTAGCAAAACAATCTCTTGACAGCGGGAACATCTTCAGCAAAAGTGGTGATTGAAATTAATGGACCTGATATGGTTATTCCTCTTGCCTCTATCAAAAGGCATCACAGTTATTAGGCAGTTCGGTAAGTTCTAAGGGTAAAAACAATCTGCAATGACAATGCTACTTTGTCTTTTAAGTTTAGAGAGTTAGCAAGTAATTCTTTAGGGTTTGCCCTGGTGGTATTTGCTACCGAAGGTGATGACTGTTACCCAGAAAGGGTACTTGTAGTGTCCAGTTTTATTGTCTTCCAGAGGAACCTGCTGCTCTCCATTGAGGAATGGAGACTGTAGACTGTCTCATCCCTCTCTGCACTGAGATGATTTAAAAAAAGTTTTTGAGCCTCATTCACAAGTGACCGTATCTATAGCAGTAACCTGGACATAGTCAAAAGTTCGCTGTGTAAGTGTGTTAGCTTGTCCTTTATAGATACTTTTTACAGAGCACATTACGTAGATAAATTATTGCAAAGGGCTTCCAGCCAGAAAGGGAACGTTCAGTATTTGGGTGAGATTCACATCTGGCTGCGCTCACTGGTGTGCATGCTCTGTGATGATGTTGCAGAGACCAGCTGGTACAGCGAGAGCAATAGTGTTGTCCTGCAAGAAAGGTCCTGCGTATGACCACCCAAAAATCGCAGCGCTGCCTCTGGGACCCAGCAGTGGCATTTCTTAGCATGCCACAGTTGAGCAGAGGAGGAAGAGGCATATAAATAGCAAGGAGAGTGTGAGCTCCATCTCGGTGCCTGATTAACAATTACAGGAACTCCTTTTAATGCAGATCTCTGAGTCAGCCCTCTTCCTCTGGCTTCCTCTGTCAAACACTCCTTTGTTAGCTGTAAGTCCTTGATCACCAGGAGTTTGTACCTTTAAGAGGCTTGTGGTAAGTGATTACTAATAGTGGCACCAGATACTGATAATACAGTGGTGGGTGACAACCGCATTTCAACAGCTCAGAGATAGTCCTTCGAGTGCAAACAGAGCTGACTGCGAAGTTGTTAGAGAAGGAGGCGCATATTGGCTCTCTGCTTCTTCCTTCAATAAATCCAGCACACAGCTTTGTTTATCCTCCAGAATTTGGTAATCTGCCTAGTCAGTAGCTCATGAAATTCCACTGCAGCAGAGAAAAGAAAATATTGCTATTCTAGTGAAGGAAAGTCAGATTTAGTATCTAGGCTGCCTCATCTAGAGATCTTTCATCAAGTGGAGATTTCAAGTAGCAAACAAAAGTGATAGTTCAGCATCAACACCGTGATCAGTGATGTCAAGGATGAGTTTGACTCCAGCTCTTTCTTTTCGTCTCCTAGCTAAGAAATTCCAAGACTGCTGCCGAAGCCAACATGTAGCCCCTTGCTTTCCCCTGATCTCTGATCGGTTCAGGAAACAATCCTGATGGGTGCTGACAAAAGAAAACATAAGTACATGCTGCTTCGTGATCAGAGTGGTGATTGCCCTCTCATGGGCTCGGTTTAAAGTTCATAGCTAAAATGAGATGTAGAAAGGACGTTTCTGAAGTGTTCTAGGGAAAGGCAGTTTATTTGGTTCAAGCCTTCTGACTCAGCTTTTCGCCCAAAAGATAGGGAAGCTTATTTAGCTAGAATTTCTAATGTTGTTACAGGGTGCAGCAGGTGCTTTTTTGGAACAGGAATAACGTTTGATGGAATACTCCATTTTTCTAGTAATAAGCAGCATTCTCCAAGATAAGCCAGACATCTGTAAAGTTATGTGTGTTTGGGCAGAGGAGGAGGGGTCTTCTGTAGTAGTCTGAGCCAGTCGTCATATTACTTCGGAAAAATGAGTTTCTTGCTTAATAGTGAGAATCAAACGATGTGGGATTCAGATCTCTGTGTTCATTTGCACTCAGTAATTCTTGTGAATAATGCAAAAGGCAAAGTAAACGCCAGCGATTCCCAGACTGCCGTACGTATCATTATGGCTACACGTACTACTGCACTTCAAAGCAAGTAGCTACAAGTTGTGAGCCACCTTTTGCTGCTGATGAGCCCTAGAGGGGGAAAAAGGGTTTGTGGATCACAATGTGGAACGGTGTGATGTAGAATCTGAGTACGGTCATGTCGGAAACACAGCATAAATACCTTCTTTTTCTTTTAAAAGTATTAAGAAATAATTTAGGAACTTCTTAATATCCTTTCAAGATTGTCCCATTTTATTTTGAAAGATTATACTGGATTTAGGTAGTTTAGAACTAATGCTCCTATTGTCTTGTACCTAGAATACGGGCATGGCTGTTTCTTCAAGTGAGTAGTCCCAGAATGGCACACTGGAACCTTCCAAAAAAGAAAAAAATATAGAACTTAGCAGCTGAATAAGAAATCTTTTTTTTTTCCTTATTGCAACAATATTCAGGAACATTTTACTGACTCTCTACGTTAATGTTTTGTTGGTAGGCAGGTAGGTATTGTAAGATTAGACTACCTTCGAGTAGCTTACAGAAGGGCCTGTCAATGGGAGACAAACTGCGAGAACATTGCTTCAATCAGTGGTTCTTTCAGTGATCCAAGGGATATCAGGTACTGGATTAATGCACTTTGTTCTTTTCTTCTCAACAGGAAGCCTAAAAAGGAAGAACATCTTAGTGAAGAGGCTGCCAAGGTGATTTCTAGCCTTCCTGACTTAACGTTCATGCATGCCAAGGTGTTGATGTTCCCAGCCACATTAACACCTTCAACAAGCTGCCAAGAAAAGGTAGACTAAAGTGATGTGAATTGGACGTTTTCTATTGATTTTTTTTTTTTCCCCCCTCTGTGGGTCGTAAAAAGCAATCTTGCTTTAATTAAAAAAAAAAATCGAGTTCAGATGATTTGTTGGTAAGCAGCACTAGAAAGGTATACATAGTAATGTATATTTATTTACATACTGGAGTCCTAAATTTATATTAGAGAAAAATGTAAATAATTGGGGGTAAATCTTTTTGAAGATCTATTCTTTTTGTTGTGCTGGGGTGTATACATTTATGTCTTTGTGAAATACACTGGTGGTGTCCTTCTTACAAAACTTTAAAAAGTTAAAAAAAATAAAAAATAATCCTAGAAACACATAATGAAAACTTCAATCTTCACAATCTGTGAAGTCCCCCTTAAAAGTTTTCAGATTGCGTTGAGCAGTTTTTTTTCTTTCCTGCATATATTAAAATACATGTTGCTGGGAAAACCCAAAAGGTTACTTAGTCCCTTTGCGGGTTTTCAGTTATTGTTGTTTCTTTAAAACGCAATAATTTCTTTTTTGTGTTTTAACAAGCTTAAGATGTGTTTTTCTTTTTCTCCTCCCCCATCCTCTCCCCCTCTTTGGTTGGCTGATCAATTTTTATGTTCTTAAACTTCAATAGTACAGCTCTGTCACTATATAGCCTTTTGAAAGGTATGCTGTCAGTAACTTCTTGTTCCAGTTATGGATCACTGTCTAAACACTTGATTTTTTTTTTTTTTTTTTTGATCACTAGAAGGTTGTCTGCTTTTAATCAGTTTGATTTGGAAAAGAAGGACCAAAACTATATGAATGTCTTACAATGAAATTTACCTGTTGAAAATTTTTTTTATGTTCTGTTGTACCACTATTCCTGTTTGATTTTTGCACAGTGTAAAATGACATAATCATAGATTGCTATGGTTTTAGGCTGTATATACAGTAAAAAACTATGGGTTGTAAATGTCTGGGAATTCCTATGGAAAAAAGAGAGCTATGTAGAAGAACCTCTAAAAAGGTCAATGTGCATGCCCAAGGTCTTTTGAGATTTAAGTGTGTAAATTTTCTTTTAGCTTACACAAAATAAAATAATTTAAAAGATACGTGTGTATGTAGTCTGCGATCTTTTTATACAGAATGCGTACATCATTCACCTTTCTGTTGATGGTAAAATCGATGCGTGGCATTAACAGTAGAACTTTCTGATTTGTACTGCACAGTCCCACAAAACACACCTGTCAGGGTCCTGCAGAAGGAGAAGCAGGCTTTTCTTTAATTGTCCTGTCTCTTTGAATGTGTTATGATGTAGTCTTTTACTTCTGTCTCCAACTTGCCTTCTGGCTTGCAGAGCAGCGCGGCTGAAGACACGTTGGTGTTTTGGGTTAGAGACTTCTTCAAGGTAATTAGCAATACTCAGCTGTAAGATACACAAATTATGGTGAGGTGAGAAAGGACAACTAGTTTTGCCTATTTCTTCACTAGAAATTAAACAAATGCTACGTGTACATTTTTAATTGCCTAACATGTTAGCTTGCACTGTCGCTCAGCAACATCGCTTCAGAGAGTATGGGTGGACAGTCTGCAGGTCAGGCATGCTCTGGGTGCTGGTGTTTAAGGGTGCTTTTCGTGGGCATAGACTCTCCAGGTCTGACCTTTACTATGTGTATAGCTCCTTATGTGTTCGGTAGTCACCACCAACTCGTCAGTTAACATCTAGTTCTGAGAAATCTCCAATGCCTTTTCTTACCTTTTCTTTGAATTCTTTATCGTCTGACAGCAGTTGGATGAGAAAAGTTAGTTTGAGTTTGGTGTGATTAGCTGGTAAGCTGAAATGTCGTCCTTGCAAAAGGGAGCTTTTTTTTTCCTTGTAGGAAGTCCTCTTGAAATGTCCTCGAGATGAGTGCTGGAGTTCCACCTTTGCGAACGCAGGAGTTTGGGTGAGTGGTGACCACTCACAATTGAGGGAGCTGCTCCTGTGGTTGTGATAAAGCTGATTTGTGAGGGCTAAACGGGCTCCTTCGCCCTCCAATTAGCGCTGCAGTATACAATGCTGTGCTACAAGCTGCACCTTGTTGTAGCTGAAAAGCTTTATGCAAAACCCAGCTGCTTTACTGTGTATCCCCAAAAACACTTGGGCTTCTTCCGCAGATTTTTTGTTACAGCACCGACTTCGTGCCTGTTTCATGTCAAAATTAGCTTTACTAATCTCACAGGTTTAGCGTGGTATTCCTTAGGGCATGCTTATTATATTGCTCAGTTCTGGCGTTGGGCTGCCGTAGGTTGGGATCGGTCCTTTTGTTCTCAGAACCGGCGTGTCCCTCGGAGCCGGAGGAGTGGTATAGCTGCGGCAGAGAGCTACAGCTATTGTTTCAAGGCGAATATGTTTAGGAGCTGACTCATGATCCTTGTCTGGCAGCGAGTGGACTGAAGTATTAAGGAGAGGTGGGGGTGGAAGTGCCAGCTGCAAGTTGATCTTTAGTCTTCTCACAATTGCCTCTAGAGGCAGCTGCCCATTTGTCTTCCAGTCTCTGAGTGCAGTACTGGTGGCCCGCCGTAGGTGGGGGAGGGGGAAAAGGAAATTTCGATTGTGACTGATTTACCAATCTAAAACTTTGTGAAACCTGGCACTATCTACAGTATATTTGTGGGGTTTTTATGTTCTTTCTGCCCTCACAAAAAAAATTAAGAAAATTACATCCCACAGACTTTCATGCTGCTAAAAGACATAAGTCTTTGATCTAAATTCAGCCTTTTGAGGTGGATGCTGCTTGCCTTAAACAGTAGCATTGCTTTTTGTCTCCTAGCTTGAGCCACCATCCTTCTTCTCAATTGTGAGACGGACAGGCAGGCTTCTCTGCTCTCTCCTCCTGTCTGTACAGGCGGCTTTGTTCCTTATGCAGAAAGTTTTGTCTAGCAGATCCCACTGCGTCAGGGTTGTCCTTCCATGCTGTTCCCGTTGACACGGCATGCCTTATCTAGTTTGATCTTGCCAGTAAGTTTATGGGCAGGATGGTAATTGATACTTTCTGCACATACGTGTTGCTGTGCATTGTCATCAGACATGTCAACGTGAATCACGTTCGCTGGAGAACTAGTGCCAGTGAATAGCGAGGCGCTTCTGCGCTCGTCCGACAGAAGCAGCAGAGGACACGCGGCTCAGATGCGATTGCCTGAGTTGGAACGTGGCCATGAAGCAAAGTCCAGAACTCCCACTGTGAAGCGAGCTGCAGGCCCCTGAATGACTGCTAAGAAGAGCTGGGCTCTGCTCGTGTTATCCAAAAGACCACACTCTGATGCTCGGCGACTCAGCGCTGACTTATAAGAAGCATTACCACCTGCTGCAGGTGTTAGCAGTGCGGTACTTCCCACAGCACTTGGAATGTTAAGACCTTCTCAGAATATCCTTAGCTTGACAGATTCATTTTGAGATGCTGAAAATAAAGCTCACAAATAATGTACGTAGATGCCCTCAAATGCAATTAGCGTGTACTGAAGTTAACCCTTCATCACACTGGGTGGCGGTACAGAATTTTACCTGCTAATGAAATCGGCATGTGGAAAGTTTTGTTGTGGGACTGCAAGACTGCTGCACTCGGGCTGAATATTTAGTAGTCTTTATAGTCCAGTAGTCTTCATAGGTGGTGTGGTTTAACCCAGCTGGCAACTAAACGTCATGCAACCCCTCGTTCAGCCTCCCCCACTCCCTGGGGAATGGGGAAGCAAATTAAAGTGGAAAAGGGAAGGAGGCTCATGGGTTGAGATAAGAACAATTTGATAACACAAAATTAAAAGTAAAAATGATAATATAATAATAACAATATATAAATATATATATAAGGGTAATAATATATGCAAAGAAGTGATGCACAGTGTAATTGCTTGCCACCTGGTGGCAAGCAGTCCCAAAATAGTTAAGTCCCAACACTGCAATCCTGGGTGAGCAAGAGGCCTGAAAAGAGAGCAAGAGAGAGATAGAACTCCCAAGAGATTGAGAGCTTGAGGTCCAGAAGACAGAATGAACCAAGTCCAACTTCCCAGTCAACCCTCATATATATACTGGGCATGATGTTGCATGACATGGAATACTCCATTGGCCAGTTTGGCCTTCAATCCTAAGAATAAGTCCAAATCATACATTAGAAGTTGTGGGTTATTTGTCCTGGCCTTGCTCCTCACCAGCCTGTTGTGCCTCTGACGGCACAACAAGATGGCAAGGTCCTTGATGTCTCAGCACCAACTATAAACATCAGTGTGTTATCAGCATTCTTCTCCTAGCAAATCCCATACTAAATCCAAAACACAGAGCTCTTGTAACTATTAAAAAGAAAAACTAACTGTCCCAGCCAAAACCAGGACAACAGGACGCGAGGGAGACTTACCTGAGTGCATGTAAGATGGATCAGCCTTGGCCCAACTGGTGTAACTCTCTTGTGCCAGCTCTGTACCTCTGCACAATTATCTTTTGAATTTCAGAGCAGCCTGAAAATACAGGATAGTTGCAAAATATGCTTGAATATAATTTATAAAAGCATATGGCATCTAATAATTGCATGACACCTGCTAGGAGTGTCTGCTACAAAAGCGAGAAGTTTTTCATAATCTGGTCTGTGTGCTGAAGAGCACAGCCACCAAAGGCAGCAAGCAGCTTGGTCTGCTCCTTTAGGTGAACCTGGAGCATGAAAGGAGACGGGGAGAAACAATGCATTCAATTTCATAGAATCATAGAATCATAGAATGGTTAGGGCTGGAAGGGACCTTCAAAGGTCATCTAGTCCAACCCCCCTGCAAGGAACAGGGATATCTCCTACTAGATCAGGTTGCTCAGGGCCTTGTCCAACCTGGCCTTGAACGTCTCCAGGGATGGAGCATCCACCACCTCTCTGGGCAACCTGTTCCAGTGTTCTACCACTCTCATAGTAAAAAACTTTTTCCTAATATCCAACCTGAACCTACCTCTCTCTATTTTAAAACCATTACCCCTTGTCCTATCATAACTGGCCATCCTGAACAGCCTCTCCCCATCTTTCCTGTAGGCCCCCTTGAGGTACTGGAAGACCGCTATAAGGTCACCCCGGAGCCTCCTCTTCTCCAGGCTGAACAGCCCCAACTCTTTCAGCCTGTCCTCATAGGACAGGATGCACCTAAAACAGGATGAGAAGGAGCTGGAAGAAAATGTAAAGCAAGAGCTCAGGAGAAGCTCTGAGTAGGGGGAATAAGAAGGTGAAGCAGGACTGGGAGTGTAGGCAGCTGGGATAGCTATAGGAGGAGCAGGTGGTGGAGAAAGTGGGATATAAGCATGAGGAGCAGGGGCATTTGGAGAGGAGAGAAAGCCTGGGATGGATTACAGGCACACACACTGTGTCCACTGGCTGCTTTTCTCCAAAATCTGGAACTGAGCCTCAGAGACCCAAGC